TACTTGTCCATATTCCCTTCGCTGTGGGTTGCGTTGTGATGTTCGGCATATAAATGTGACGAAAATCTAACTTTCTGCGGTCCTATATTCTGAGCCTGGGCAATATTTCGCGATATTTGCACTCTTTTGACCGACTAGAGGTCAACAAATATTACTAACATTCAGTACAGTACTTCTAATTACGTGTCCAGATTCCCTTCACCGTGGGTTGTGTTGTGATGTTCGGCTTTCAACTGCGGCCTATAGAACGACCCAAAAACACATAAAATTAAGTTTTCGGTCCACTTCATCCCAATATTATTATCTGATCATCACCGAAAATTAAAGACGTTGTCTTGACCATATCTGGATCCTTATGGAAAATTTCAAAGCGATCAGCGCTATATTTCGCCCTCTAGTGTGGTAATGGGTTACTAAATAATATTTGAAAACGTAAGTACCTGCAAATATTTAAGTGTAACTCCCACATCCGAGTACATACGACAATAAAATTGGTATCAATTTAAAGGCAACCACTCCTCTTAAGTATACTATCAACATCTCGGCTTCATGTCCTTCAGGAGTAAATATATACGCCATAGAATGCAAATTTGGTCATTTTTCACACAAAATTCAGGATCCATTTGATCCGCTAAATATTGGCACGCTTATTCTTTGGCCCGATCCCCTTCTCCATGTAAAATTCGCGATGTTTGGGCCATAATTGCGGCCTCTAGAGCGACCAGAAAAACCGACCAAAATAAAGTTTTTGGTCCATTTCATCCCCTAAATATTAAGAGATCTTTACAAAAAAACAATAGGGGTCTTCATTGGCCAGAACCCATCCTACATGCAAAATTTCGTGAAGATTGGTCCATAACTGTGGCCTGTATCGTGTTTACAAATTAAATGGACAGACGGACGGACGGACACACATGTCTAGATCGACTCAGCTAGTCGAGATATGACGATCGGTATACTTAAAGGTGGGTCTAGGACCAATATTTCGCGGCGTTAGAAACTCTTGGGGCTGCACAAAGCTATAATACCCTGACAACATAGTTGTGTAGTGTATAATAATAATAAAGGTCAACCACTCCTCTTCGATATATATGGTCAACTTCTTGGGTTTATGTCCTTCAGGAGTAAATATATACGCCATAGAATACAAATTTTGTCATTTTTCACACAAAAGTCCGCTAAAAAATGATGGACCCGCTAAATAATGATGGACCCGCTAAATAATGATGGATCTTTATCAAAACAGTCATGCTTATTCTTCGGCCCAATCCCCTTCTCCATGTAAAAATTGCGACCTCTTGAACGACCAGAAAAACCGACAAAAATTAAGTATTTGGTCCATTTCATCCCCTAAATATTAACCGATCTTTCCCAAAAAAATAGGGGTCTTCATTGAGCCGAACCCATCCTACATCCAAAATTTCGTTAAGGTTGGTCCATAACTGTGGCCTGTATCGTGTTTACAAATTATAATGGACAGACGGACGAACGGGCGGACACACATCTCTAGATCGACTCAGCTAGTCGAGATATGACGGTGTATATTAAAGTAGTCATTCCGTTTCCCACAAAGTATATATATTCTTGATCAGAATATGTCCGCCCGTTTATCTGTCCGTCCGTTGAAATCACGATAGAGATCGCAATATTTAAGATAGCTATTGTTAGTACGTCTAGGATGTTTGGTATTACAAACTGAATATATCGTCCCACGGTACCCCCAATATTCGGTATTTTGGTGATTCTGGACACGTTTTGCAACCGAACTAGATGTAATTTGGTATTTTGGGTTCTCATTGAATAACACACATCCGTATTATTAATATTGACGAACGTTTCAGGATAATCCCCATACTAAATTCGGTATTTTGGGGATTTTGGACATGTTTTCCAACCGAATTCGCTGTAATTTGGTATTTTGTCTTCTCATTGAAGAACATATATTCGTATCAAAAATTATTAATATTGGCCCATTTATTCCGTATTTTTCATTTTTATATCCCTCACCACACGGTGGTATAGGGTATTATGTCTTTGTGCATATGGTTGACCCTTGGTTCCTTTTGAGAATATGCATAGAGTCACTTTCTGAGTTGATTTATGCATGTCCGTCCGCCCGTCTGTTGATGTTAAATTATAAACAAAGTACAGGTCGCATTTATCATCCGATGTGGATGAAATTTGGCACAGCTCATTAATTTGGCCCAAGGACAGACCCTATTGAATTTGGTGAAAATCGGTTCATATTTAGATATAGCTCCCATATATATTTTTTCGTCTGATTTAATGTAAAAGGTGCACCAAAGTCTCTATATATCTTTCGATATTCATGAAATTTGAAACAGCGTATTGAATTAAGTCTGGAATGATATGTGTTAAGTTTCGTGAAAGTCGGTTCAAATTTCAATTTTCGTGCGCCAAAGTCCCTACATATCTTCCAAACATATATTCGTATCAAAAATTATTAATATTGGCCCATTTATTCCGTATTTTTAATTTTTATATCCCTCACCACACGGTGGTACAGGGTATTATGTCTTTGTGCATATGGTTGACCCTTGGTTCCTTTTGAGAATATGCATAGAGTCACTTTCTGAGTTGATTTATGCATGTCCGTCCGTCCGTCTGTTGATGTTAAATTATAAACAAAGTACAGGTCGCATTTATCATCCGATGTGGATGAAATTTAGCACAGTTCATTAATTTGGCCCAAGGACAGCCCCTATTGAATTTGGTGAAAATCGGTTCATATTTAGATATAGCTCCCATATATATATTTTCGTCTGATTTAATGTAAATGGTGCACCAAAGTCTCTATATATCTTTCGATATTCACGAAATTTGAAACAGCGTATTGAATTAAGTCTGGAATGATATGTGTTAAGTTTCGTGAAAGTCGGTTCAAATTTAGATATAGCTTCCATATATATTTTCGTGCGCCAAAGTCCCTACATATCTTCCAATTTGGCATAGCGTATTAAATTAAGTCTAGAATGATGTGTGTTAAGTTTCGTGAATATCGGTTCAGATTTAAAATAGCTCCCATATATATTTTCGTCCGATTTAAGGTAAATGGTGTGCTAAAGTCCCTAAATATCTTTCGATATGCACGAAATCTGGCATAGCGTACTGAATTGAGCCTATAACCAGTGAGCGGAGCAGTATAGTCGGACGGGGCCGACTAGAAGAACCTAACTTTGTGTGGTTCTACATTCTAGCTTGGGAAGTATTTTATGATATTTGCACCATCTTGACCGGCTAGAGGTCAACAAATATTACTAATATTCAGTACAGTACTTCTAATCACCTGTCCAGATTCCCTCACTGTGGGTTGCGTTGTGATGTTCGGATTATAATTGTGGACTATAGATCGACACAAAAACCACAAAAAAATAAGTTTTCAGTCCATTTCATCCCAAAATTATTATCTGACCATCACCGAAAATTATAGGCGTTGCCCTTAACCATAACTGGAACCTCATGGAACATATCAAGGCAATCAGGGCTATATGTCCGCCCTCCAGTGTTGTAATGGATTACAAAATAATATCCGAATACGTAAGCACCTGCAAATATGTAGGTGTAACTCCCACATCTGAGTACATACGAGCATATAATTGGTATCAATTTAAAGGTCAACCACTCCTCTTGAACATTTGTCCCGCTAAATATTGACCGATCTTTATTAAAGCAGGCATGTTTATTCTTTGGCCCGATCCCATTCTCCATACAAAAATTTGCGGTGTTTGGGCCATAATTGCGGCCTCTGGAGTGACCATAAAAACCGACAAAAATAAAGTTTTTGGTCCATTTCATCCCCTAAATATTAATCGATCTTTTCCAAAAACAATAGGGGTCTTCATTGGCCAGAACACATCCTACATGCAAAATTTCGTGAAGATTGGTCCATAACTGTGGCCTGTATCGTGTTTACAAATTATAATGGACAGACTGACGGACACACATGTCTAGATCGACTCAGTTAGTCGAGATATGACGGTCGGTATACTTAAAGGTGGGTCTAGGACGAATATTTCGCGGCGTTACAAACTTTTGGTGCTGCACAAAGCTATAATACCCTGACAACCTAGTTGTGTAGGGTATAATGATGTGTGCTAAGTTTCGGTTAAAATTTAGATATATGGTGCACCAAAGTTCTAATATATCTCTCGTTCAATTTCATGTCAATGTTCGTTCGTGGAGACTATGTAAAATATACCCAAAGTAGTGAAGGTTATCATATAGTCGGCCTCGTCCGGCTTTACTAATTTCCTTACTGTTTTTTTTTTTGTATATTTCCGGATGAGAATTTGGATATTATCAAATAAGACATCGTATTTATTACCAATATATTTGATTAAATATACTTTCATGGAAGGCAAGGGCAGATTTTTATCAATTTCTGAATGCTCTATTGTAATTTTGTTGCTACCAATTGACTGACAAATATATATTAACGTCATACAATCCAACAAGCATTTTTTTCCTGAACAGTCATTCATAACTGATGGTCTAAGCTGTACTCTTTGAAGTTCTTTATTTTTATATTAGCTTCAAAAAAAAAGTATTACAAAAAATATTTAGTTGGATACTCTAATATTCAATTTTTTGTTAAATCAAAGTGGCTCAATTTTCTGCAGTGATAATTTTTTATACATGCAATAAAATATTTTTGTCACTGAAAATAATTCACATTTCAGAATAATCAGCAACTTTGTTACGATTTAAGTAATTTTGACGATTTGGAATCGCAATATTCTAACAATATCTGTATACAGTACGCAACAATCATTTGTCCAAAATGCTAGCTTTTAGTTGCTTGCTTTATTTGAAACTCCATTTTTTGACACCAAGGCGATGATTTCATAAAATATTGTTAATATTTTTAAAACATTTCAATTCACTTTATTGTTATTTATGGTACACACACACAAGTCTTTTCTAGAAACTTTAGTTAACTTTTACTTTTTTAATGAAAAAAGTTAATTATAACAACGAACCTGTGGTTAGGATACCAATCACCAAACATATTCGGATTATATTCGATTTTTTATTTAATAAAATTTTAATTAAAAAAAAAAAAAAAAAAAAAAAATAAAATAAAATAAATCACTAACACTATATTCTACCCGCGGAGTAACAAATATTCCACAATTCGTGGATGAATAAATTGCAACTGAGCGAAATTGAATGAAACCCCTGCCCAAATATCCCCATGTTTATAATAATCTTCGATTTCTAATCAAATCTTATCGGGCCATATTCGAATATATATTCGCACAGTGTTAACACTAGCAATTAACCAATATTTTGTTATTTTTCGAATAGTCGAAGAATTCATTGATACGAGTAACTCTACTCTGTGTCACCTATTTGCCATTTATCGAGAGAGATTGTTTTTGGAAACGTTCTCCCGCATAATTGTTGTTGTCGAACGGCGTTGTTTGTTCATACATATTTGTTAGTTTATATTGTGTGTATTTGTATTCGTTCGTATTTGTGTGTACGTATGTTTAATAACTAATCAGCGATTATCTCCAAAACCTTAACTTGCTGAGTGAGTGTGACTACGTTGCACCACTATAGCGGTTTCTTATCGCGCAACCTGACAAACCAAACAATTTTAATGGGGGTTGAGCACCTGCCTAAAAATCAAAAAACAAAAACAAAAAACGAAACAAATACAACAACACAATTGTCAAGCACATTTTTCGGTGAACACCTGTTCGACTTCCCATCTAATAAAATCATAAAAATTAATCATCATCTTGGCGACCAGGGCTGTAAAAAACCCACGACAATCGTCTGCAGTAAAACAACAAAAATATACGTATGTGTATTTGTTGGTCAAAGTGTTTAATATTTAATCTCCTGTTTTTGGTGTATAAAAAAGTGGTAGAAGACTTGTCCTATTTATGAATACATCTGCAGCTGTTTTATTGTTTAAAGACATTTTTGGATTTTGAGTTAAAGATAGGATCTTAAAAATATTATTTGATAAATTCGTGTAATGATTAGAAACAAAAAGTATAATACATGCCCTGATAGGCCTTAAAAATAATTTAAACATATGTTAAATAAAAAATATTCTTTAATAAATCCACGGACCCTTGGTTGTCCCTCCATACTATGGTGGAGGATTTTGTTTTTCCATTTGTAACTCATCGAAATAATCATTTCTGACCCTATAAAGTATATATATTCTTGATCAGCATAAAATTCTATGACGATATAGACATGTCCGTCTGTCCGTTTGTTGTAATCACATAGCGTCTAAAGGAAAAAATTATAAATATTTTCCATAATATAATTTTTGCAGGTGGGTCAAGTTCGAAGATGGGCTTTATCGGTCCACGTTTAGGCATAGCTCCCATATAAGGGTACCCCCAATTTTCGGTATTTTGGGGTTCTTGAGCGTGTTTTTCGACCGAATTCGCTGAAATTCTGTACATTGAGTTCTTATTTGGTAGCAAATCTCTCCACTAAAAATTATAAATATGGTTTTTACTGTATTGGCTGTAATTTAGTAATGTGAGTTCTTATTGGGTAAAAATTACTCCACAAAAAAATATAAATATAGGTCAATTTTTTCGGGTACCGCCAATTTTCGATATTTTGAGGTTCTTGAGCGCGTTTTTATACCCTTCACCACACTGTGGTACAGGGTATTATGTCTTTGTGCATATGTTTGTAACAGGCAAAAGGAGACGAGATAGATCCATAGTTTCTTTTGAGAATATGCATAGAATCACTTTCTGAGTCGATTTATGCATGTCCGTCCGTCCGCCCGTCCGTACGTCTGGCCGTCTGTTGGTGTTAAATTGTAAACAAATAACAGGTGGCATTTATAATCCGAATTGGATGAAATTTGGCACAGTTCATTTATTTGGCCCAAGGACGAACCCTATTGAAATTGGGAAAAATCGGTTCAGATTTAGATATAGCTCCCATATATATATTTAACCGATTTAATGTAAACGGTCCCTATATATCTTTCGATTTGCACGAAATTTGGTACAGCCTAATCAATTAGGTCTAGAATGATGTCTGCCAAGTTTCGTGAAAATCGGTCCAGATTTAGATATAGCTCCCATATATAGTTTCGTCCGATTTTAGGTAAATGGTGCTCCAAAGTCCCTATATATCTTTCGATTTGCACCAAATTTGGCATGACGTACTGAATTGAGCATAGAATTATGTCTGCCAAGTTTCGAGAAAATCGGTCCAGATTTAGATATAGCTCCCATGTATAGTTTCGTCCGATTTCATGTAAATGGTGCCCCAAAGTCCCTATATATCTTTCGATTTGCACGAAATTTGGTACAGCCTAATCAATTAGGTCTAGAATGATGTCTGCCAAGTTTCGTGAAAATCGGTCCAGATTTAGATATAGCTCCCATATATAGTTTCGTCCGATTTCAGGTAAATGGTGCTCCAAAGTCCCTATATATCTTTCGATTTGCACCAAATTTGGCATGACGTACTGAATTGAGCATAGAATTATGTCTGCCAAGTTTCCAGAAAATCGGTCCAGATTTAGATATAGCTCCCATGTATAGTTTCGTCCGATTTCATGTAAATGGTGCCCCAAAGTCCCTATATATCTTTCGACTTGCACGAAATTTGGCATAACGTACTGAATTGAGCCTTGAATGATGTCTGCCAAGTTTCGTGAAAATCGGTCCAGATTTAGATATAGCTCCCATATATAGTTTCGTCCGATTTCAGGTAAATGGTGCTCCAAAGTCCCTATATATCTTTCGATTTGCACCAAATTTGGCATGACGTACTGAATTGAGCATAGAATTATGTCTGCCAAGTTTCGAGAAAATCGGTCCAGATTTAGATATAGCTCCCATGTATAGTTTCGTCCGATTTCATGTAAATGGTGCCCCAAAGTCCCTATATATCTTTCGATTTGCACGAAATTTGGTACAGCCTAATCAATTAGGTCTAGAATGATGTCTGCCAAGTTTCGTGAAAATCGGTTCAGATTTAGATATAGCTCCCATATATAGTTTCGTCCGATTTCATGTAAATGGTGCTCCAAAGTCCCTATATATCTTTCGATTTGCACCAAATTTGGCATAACGTACTGAATTGAGCCTAGAATTATGTCTGCCAAGTTTCGAGAAAATCGGTCCAGATTTAGATATAGCTCCCATGTATAGTTTCGTCCGATTTCATGTAAATGGTGCCCCAAAGTCCTTATTTATCTTTCGATTTGCACGAAATTTGGCATAACGTACTGAATTGAGCCTAGAATGATGTCTGCCAAGTTTCGAGAAAATCGGTCCAGATTTAGATATAGCTCCCATATATAGTTTCGTCCGATTTCATGTAAATGGTGGACCAAAGTCGCTATATATCTTTCGATTTGGACGAAATTTGACAGACATAGCCCAACGGATGACCTATTTATATCTGTTTGAAGTCGATTTACATACTTTATGGATAGATCTAGGTAGATTCACATTTAGATAATTATCACATATTTTATTTCATCCAATTTCATGTTAATAGTCCTGTTTAATATACCCATAGTGGTGAAGGGTATCATATAGTCGGCCCCGTCCGACTTTACTACTTTCCTTACTGGTTTAACCTAATTCGTTGAAATTATGAAATGGTATTTTGTAGTCGTATATGATGACAAATCTCCCCACCAAAACTTATTAATATTCACCCCTTTATAGGAGTAGTCCCCATACAACACCCTTTTTTATATTAAAATTGTTATATGATTTGTTCCGTGTGTTGCGGTTGGGTAGTCGTTACGGGGAATAGTCAATTTTTACCCTACAAAGACTATTTAGCAATCTGTTGTAAATATATTGTTATAAAAAAAACTCAAACATGACTATAATGAAATATATCGGCAGACATTTAGGCATCTCCTCAATATAGTGATACCTGCTGAAGGAAAGAATTTAGATAAACAATTAACATATTGGGTTCAAAATTTATATATACCGGTCATTAATTAGACATATCCCTCATATAATTATATCCCCAAATATGCACTATGTAATCAATATTGGTTCCCCTTTAGGCATAGCCTCATATAACTTTGTAATCTAAATTACATTAGTTTGAGGATTTTATACTCTACCATGCGTTATCAGTATCAGTCAACTTTTTGGATCTAACAGATTTTAGGAAAAATCCCCATTAAAAATTGCTGAAGTTTGTATTTGGTGTACATAATGGTTTACATAAATCGGTTTGTAGAATTATCGGTATATGCCCCCTTTTTGGTATGTTCCCTATATTTTCATTCCAAGTACCTGTCAGTATACCTATGGTGGAGGGTATCCAAAGTTCGACCCGGCCGAACTTAACGCTTTTTCACTTGTTTTTTATTAAATCCTCGCCTTGATATACCCTCATCAATTATTCTTAGCATAAATTATTGAATTCTTATTAGTCCTCAATTAAATTGCTTTCGCCATTGACATAATCAATAAAATAAATCGTATTTCATAAATTCATTTTATGATTATATATATATTTACATATATAAAATAATTATGCTTTTATTCATTTGCCATAATTCCCACAATTCTATATTATATCTGTTGGATACTATTGTTCTTTAATATGCTATTAAAAAAATATTTAAGGAAAGAAATCACAAAACTTTGTTAATTATGGATTTGTTTTATTTTTAGTCACGTCAAGTTTTAGTATTTCTATCCAAATTGATGACAATCACAAACATATGTATGTTTGTATGTATATATACCATTCTGTATGTGGCATTGTGATATTCAAAACTATTATTATTAAAGTATATCAATGATATATGTAGAAATGCACTTCAATAAATGCTTAGGGGGATTAATGCGAGAAATATATATGTATATACAATGCCAGTTATTTGTAAATAATCTCCTGAAGGGTTGTTTCCATTGCCAATTTATCATACCCTTCACCACACTTTGGTACAGGGTACTATGTCTTTGTGCATATGTTTGCAACAGGCAAAAATAATCGAGATAAACCCATGGTTCCTTTTGAGAATATGCATAGAATCACTTTCTGAGTCGATTTATGTCCGTCCGT